TTAGTGTATAATTATCGTACAAGATTAAGTCAAATATTTTGTATTTTTCCAGTTGCTGGATGGTATCTTCTAAACCACGCGATAACGTGGGATTATGGCCCGTAACAGGGTCCCTCCATTCAATTCAGGCCATACCAGCAATATTTCTCCTTTTTTATTTGATCAAACCTTGTGTTCCTACCCAGCCATCAGCCACCAGATTTGAAGTTTTAGATAGATACTTTAATGATAAATAAATAAAAATTATGAAAAAAAGTTTTCTTCTATTTTAGATAGGTTTTAAGTTTTTTACTGCCTCATTTGTTTTTGATGATTAATTTTTATAAAAAAAATCTCTGCTCACAGGTTTTAAGGTGGTGGCACAGCAAGTGATTGTATTTAAAAAAAAAAAATACGATTAGAGATGTTAAGACATGCCGTTATATTAAAAAAATTCTCACAACAATTTTTGGTTGATTTAGAAAACGGTACTTGATTTACCACATTTCTTCTCCAATAAAACAGTAAAAAGACATGTAAAATTTATGGGATGGTGTGAAAAAAACAAAAGAACTTATGAGATTATTTTTAGAAAAAATAAAAAATATTTGAACAATAAAAAAGAAAAACAAATATAAAAATATTCATCAAAATATACCAAAAAATGTACAAAAAAATATACAGATTTCTTCCGTAACCAGGCTGCGCCATTGGAGCAGTCCAGCTGGCCTGGATCATGCCCTTTGGCTTTTTCTCTGTTTGTTTTTTGCTAGGCACATCAAGTTCCATCCCGCAAGTATGGTATATCATCGTACCATAAATGATCAGATTTGCCTAAGTTACAGTTTAATGAGGCTTACGATGGTACGCACAGATCATTAATCCAAACGAGAATCACGCGGCCCGATTATAATATAAAAAGCAAAACAAAGACACAGAAGGCACGTCAACTTTTCTCTCAGAAACCAGGGCTCACTCTTTGTATCTTCTATATAAAGCCTGTCCAACCTAGCTCTTCTACCCAGTCATTATTTTCTTTGAGAGTGCATAGAATATTTGTGTTGATATAGAAAACAATGGCACTACATGGAAAGATTGAGACAACATTAGAACTCAAGTCCTCCGCAGAGAAGTTCTACAAAGTGTGGAGGAGCCAGTCCTTCCATGTTCCCAAACATGCTTCCAAGCATATTCAAGGAGTTGATGTACATGCAGGTGACTGGGAGACTGCGGGCTCTATCAGGATTTGGCAGTACACAATCGGTAAGGCAATGCTAAAACGTGCACGCTTTCTTTTAATTCTGTTACTTCGATGAAAAAAGCTGCTAAAGAACTAACCACAAATGTTAATTTAGTTACATGCATCTGCTTTAATTTTTCTCTAAGGTTATAGAATTTGACTGTTCATTGGACAGAAATTCTTAACATTCTTAACATAATTGCATGCGATAAGGAAAGAGGTATTCTTATTGGTGGTGCTGCTGCTTCTTTCCAATGCACGCCCATGTCAGTTTATGTAAACAGTGCAATTTTAACAACCGATGTTATTATCTAATACTCTCTGTGCCATAATGCAACCATAGGAGGAAAACCCGGGATATTTAAAGAGGAGGTTTCCTTCGATGATGAGAACAAGACCATAACTCTTAATGGTTTGGAAGGAGATGTCATGAAAATTTACAAGGTCTATAGGCCCATCTGGCAGCTTACACCCAAAGGCTCGGGCTGCTTGGCAAAACTGACCATTGAGTACGAGAAACTCCATCCTGAAGTCCCGGTTCCGGAGATTTATGTTGATTTTATGGTTCATATGACGAAAGACATCGACGAAGCCCTTTGCACCGAGTAAGGGAAGGGGTCATCGATCTCGACCAATAAGCATCACATGTTTGTGATCATGCTAGTACTTGTATAATATATATCTAAGCTTTCGCGCAACGAGTTTCAGTGCATCAATGTGTGTTGTATTTCCTTTGTGTAATCTACAAACCTATTAAATAAAAGTAGAAGCTAAAGCTGCGGCTGCTTCCTCATATGTAATGTTATTTCATCTCTCTTTTTGTCTCGCTCAAATAGTTTCGTGTATGGTCACTATATATTCAGACCCGATGGAACCATAATTTGGTATTGTCATTGAATTTGAACTGGCGAGTAAATATTGATATCTTTTGATTCAATATCCCGTTTAATTTTCTGTATAAAAATTATTTCGGCTTAATCCTTAATTTGACGCAACCTAAAATAACTTGAATAACAGGTACAAAATATGATTTGATGGTTTAATTTTAAAAAACTATATACATCAGATTCACTTGTTTTCTTTATGCTAATGATAAACTCCTGTCAGCTTTCATATACAAGATTTTAATAGGATTATAAATTTATAATTTGAATAGATAATATATTTAATTGCAAAAATAAACGATGCATAGCCAATAATAACCGTGACCTTGTTCCTCCTTTATTTTATTCAATTTTATGAAAACCATGCAGCATTTTGTTGGTTTATCACCAAACAATATGAAGATGTCAAATTTACTTTTCACACACACAAATACATATATACATGTATATATACATCTATATATATATGTGTGTGTGTGTATTGTCATAACTCATTTTCGCACCCCGAATGAAAAATATAAAAATTAAAATTTGATAATATTTTATTGACTGATGACAACTCTGTTGAAAAAAAAAATTCAATTTGAGAAAGAAAAATCCAAAATCAGATGTATATGGACTCAATTAAATTTAAATGAAAGTTTAATTAAATTTATGGAGAGCTTGATAGCAAGAAAAATTGATTTTGGAGTCAATTTGACCTTTAATTGGAAGAAATTAAAGTTTTGAGGTCAAATTATAATTTTTGAAAGTTAATTTGGTCAAATCAGGGGCTTAATTGCATAAATATTGAAGTTTGATAGCTAATTAGGGACTTGATTGAAGAAATCTGAAACCAATGATCAAAATAAAAAAGATGCGTAAGTAAGGGGGTTGGAATTAAAATCGGTAAGAGACCCAATTAAAGAAATTAGAAGTTTATTGATCAATTGAGGGTCAAATTGCATAAATTCAAAACCAAGGACTAAAGTGAAAAAGGTGGCCAACTTTAAGGCCGATGTTGAATTTTTGGCAGGGATGTAATTTCATTGATTTTAAATTAAAATTTCAATTTACAACTTGATTGAGCAAATTACAAATTAAGGACCAATGTAAAATTTAATATGTTTTTGCCGCCTTTGCATTTAAATGAAACAACGCGTTTTGACCAAAACGGCGCCGTTTCATGCACTATTTTTTTAAAAAAAGAGAAGGCCTGAAATGGTGCTGTTTTGAATGACATCATCATCTTCTTCCCTTAGATACGCAAAGAATTGGGAAAGAAAATTTGTTTTTCTTCTTTGTTTCTCACCAACTTCCCTTCCCCCTATGACTTTAAAAAGACACCGACACAACCCACTTTCCACTTATCGAACGGATTGTGGAGGGGCAGCAACACAGTGGCCACCCCAGCCACATCCCCCCCTTGTTTTTGCCTATAAAAACAAGGGAAAGGGAAGAAAAAAACTAAGAAAGAGAAAAAGAGGAGAGAGAGACCAAGATTGAAAGGACAAAGAGGAGAGAGAGAGATAGAACAGAAGAGAGAATATAATAGAGAAGAGGGAAAAGAAAAGAAGAAAATGAAAGAAAATAAAAAAACAAAGGCCCTTGCCTTTGTACAGCGAGGAAGAAGAAGGAGGAACATTGCCGGCTACCGTCTCCACCACCGTGAGCCACCACCACAACAACAACCACCGCTCTTCATGTCAAGTACTCTTCTCTCTTTCCCTACTTCGTTTTCTATTCAATTTCATCCAATATAATAGGTTAGCCTTCACCCATTTTGCATATTGGGTCAGTGTTGTCCCATTTTTTTGGGGCGAGCGTTGGAGCAGTTCATTTTATGTTGGGCAGGAGCAAGCTTGTTTCATGTCTGGCCGGTGTGGCCCTGCTTCATGTTGGGTTAATGCTGGCCCATTTTGTTGTATGTTGAGTCGATGCTGGCTTATCATTTTTATGTTGAGTCTTGGTGGCCCATTCCAAATAAATACATCATAAAAATACAAATTCAGTATTAAAATATCTTATTTTCATCAAAACTTTCAAAAATACAAAAAAATAAAAAAAGTTATTTTTGTGCATGCGGCCAAGTGTCTCAAAGCTAAAAAAATCATATTGTATTTTTCATACACCAAAAACAATGTTTTGGCATGCATTTTTGTTTTAATAACCAGTTTATTTAAGTTAAGAGAAAATTAGCTAAAATTTCAAAAACAACAAAAATTTTATTTTGTTTATCTTTTAGTATCCGGGATATGACATTACATGTAATGTGTATTTTGGATATTTAATTTTTTTTTTATAATAAAATAATTAGATTTTACTGCATTAAGAGAAGAATCTCTTTATTAAGTAGGGATTGTCTGTAACCTTAGATAGAACAACAATTAAAAACCATTACACCACTTTAGATTTTATCAGAAAAAACAATGTAATCTATTTTAGATAAAGTATATTTGAGGTGATAATATATTTTCTTTACGCAACTAGTTTCCATATCTAATTTCTGAGATCAGTTAGGATTTCTAGTTATCAAAATATTAGGTGACAACTTACATTCAAACTTTCTATTAATAAGATACATAAAAATTTTATCTTTTTATATTTTATTAAAAATATATTATTTTGTTTTTTTTTGAAAGATGAACAATCATCGTAACTCCACGTACATGCAACAATATATATATATATATATAAAATTTGTAGAGGAGTCATGAATCACATGTACACAGGCTGTGGGGGAAGCTGTGCTGTTTTCTTTTACGCCTTCATACAAGGCCTGCATCAACGAGACCATAATGAGTTGCTAACTCAAGCAAGACATCATTGTTTTTTTACGAAGTAATTAAACAAAGTTTCTTCAGAGTTAATAAAAAACGAAAATACTTCATATTTTTTTTTTATTTAAACAAAACAGGAGAGCATCGCGCTACAAATCCACAAGGGAAATACGGAGGACAGAATGGCCACTCCATTATACGAGTCCTTGATCACAGCTGAACGTGCTTTGAGATTCAAAAAGATTGTTCTGAATTCAGCAAAAAGAAAAAAGGACGTCTCAATATTATTATTAAATTAGATAACAATCAACAATTTAAACAGCTTTCAATGTTCTCATATCCAATGCATTTAGACATGCTGACTAAGGCATGGAGTTTAAGAAATTAGATTAGTGGTAGAAAAATAATTGTTAATAGTAGTAGCCTATCTCAGAGATTGAACACATCTGAAGGGAGGGGACCCTGTAAACATCCAGGCATCCCTTTCCAGAACTTAATGAGTTATTGTCTTGTCCATTCACCATATCCTTATGGCCGCAATGTTAGCAAAATGATCTATGATGATATAAAAAGGGTTATTTTTAGTGATTTGAAGCATTTTTATTGTTCCAAAAGGTATCCAAAAAGACGTGAATTCAACTGCAGTTGTTGCTTCGCAGTGATCGTGCCCGACAGTGTAGTTTTGAATCTTGATGGAGCCATCAGTCTCCCAGTCACCATGATGTACATTAACTACTTCGCAGCTGGAGGTTTGAGTTCTACGGCTGTCTCCAGCTAATCTTGCAGAGCCAATGTTAAATGTTAAATGTACGGTTAAAAAGACATGTTTTAAGCTTGATTAGGTGTTAAATGTGCAAATATTTCGAGAATCACAACCAAGGTTATACAAATAAATTTCTATGATTTTTTCAGTACCCCAACAAGATTTAGGATCATTCCAAATTAATTAGTTTCTATTTTTTTTTAATTTTAAAAAATATTTAGTGGTTAAGAAAAATTAAGAAATATTTCCTGACCTCAAAAAATTTGAAATTGTTTTTGAGAGTACATTGAATCTTTATTAGCATGCATGAAAAATCTTCAATTCAAAATATCAAAAAATGAACTTCTAAAAGGGTTTTTTTTTTCAACAATCAAAATTTGAACTATTAACCTTAACGGTCCAATCGAAGGAAGGGCTATTACTTATCTCAAGGATAAAATAGTATAAGCCTTAATATGTCATAACTTTCACAATTGAGGATAAAAAGGCCATTAAACCCAATTTGAAGTTTTCTTTCTTTCAATGGCCTAGCAAAATGACATTGAATTTATTATTTTTTTAAATGTCAACTAAGCATTAAAGTTTAATGATTTTTTATTTGGGAAAATATGTTAAAAATAATACAAGTTACATATTAATATTTTATTAAATAATTTAAAATTTTGGGTTGACATGATTTTCATATAAGACAAACATAAAAACCTTTTCAATTGTTTGATTTATTTATTTGTTCACTTATTGCCTTCTTTTATCAGCAAATTGATCTCCAGCAACTAACAAAAATAGCAAGTAAAATTCATGCAATCCCTATCGAGATAGCTTGTAACTATGAGTAAAAAGGACATGTAATGTATTAAAATGAAATTATAAAAATCTTCAAACTTGTATAATCGATATTATAGAGCCCCCATTAAATTAAAAATGCCATGCGCATGCATGTAGTTAAGCAGATGACGCTACAGCGTCACTCACACTAGGATTTTCCATATCCAAGACATGTTGTGATGATTTGATATGAGTAAATATATTAAAGAAATGAAAATACAAGTAACCGATATAATATATATAGCAACTTGTTGATGGAGGATTTTCTGCCTTTTCAAGTCTTAACCGATATAAATCTTATTATCTTATCCCAACTTCAATTTTACCTAATATTTTAGCAATTAAATTAAATATTAAATGTTGTTTCTATCGTTTTCCTCTTCTCACCCTACGTGATAACAGCCATTTAATGGTTAAAATTGAGCCGGTTTGTGGCCTGCGATTGGTTACGTTGGTGGTGGCAGTGAGATCACGATGATGGCATGTAGCGCCGTGATGAGAAAAAGATTTAATTATGATGAATTAATTTCTGCTCTAAATTAAAAAATCCGACAACTGGTTGGTTGCTTCAACTTCTGAACCTCCCCCAAGAGAATATCGTTGTTTCTCATAAAAAAAGAAGAAGTTATATCTAGAAAAAAATCATAAATAAATACGAACAGAAATACTTTATAAAGATTTTAAAATTTAGAAGATAAAAATTGATATAAAACTGGTTTGAAAACAAGAGGAGACTATTTATATAGCTGGGCCACAAAGCTTTAACTTGATTACTGGGCCCAACTCTTGCAGAGAGACCCAATATGGCTTTCACAATGGTAACAATACATGCATCTAACAAGCTACCACGAGCTGCGCTGTTTGGCATGCTCTAAATTCAATTTAGAGATTGTAATCATATTTAAAATTATTTTGAATATAAAAAAATTAAATTTTAAATGAAATTCAATTTTTATAAATAATATAAAAATAAATAAGATATCAATCTCACTAAATTATTACACTAAAAAAAAATATTAATATTAAAATTAATTTTTACAAAATACTGGCAAAAAGGGTGGGGGGGGGGGGGGAGATCAGACTGGGGCGCAGAATCTTGTTAATCGAAAGACCAAGAAATCAAATGAAAGACTAGTGCGCATTCTAAATTAAAGACCTGATTGGCTGACATTATCTTCTAAGCATATCCTGAGCCGCGCTTAAGTATGGAAATCAAAAGATAGACACTAACAACGAATAAGAGCCAGGGGCAAAACATTTTACCAAGCACAGAAGCAGCCCCGATCCAACCCCACCTTTCACCAAGAAGAAACCATGTAAATCCGGAACCCCAGAATGGCTCCAAACCATAAATGATTGTAGTTTCTGTTGCTGAAACATCAACATTGCAGCGATCTACGAAGTTAATAAATAAAGTAACTTATGATGACATTTACTTTTATTTGACAGTAAAAGTCTTAAACAGCACAATTTTCTAAATCCGATTGAAGCCATTTTGGTTAAACTCACCAGTGATCTTTCATTCCGGAGGCAAGGATCATCATGCAACGTTAGGGTCACTGAGAATTGGGAGATTCCAGTTCCATTCCCAAACAGATTTCACATTTAATTTTAACTGAAATTGAATCTACATAACAACTTTAATAATATTATCTAAAATTTGTCTCGCTTATAAAATACAATAAGTTTCTATGCAATTGTTTTTTTTTTTTTTTTGTTATGAATTACCAAATCCCAAATGAACTAACTGTAGCCTTGGAGGAATTCATAAACCCACAAGGCAAATAAAATATAAACTACACCTCCCACAGACAATTATCAAAGACAAAAAATAAAATAAACTAAATAAAAGGACAATCCAAGGTGCCTTTAATATTAAAGAATAAAAATATCAATTTTCTATTAAAAGGGAAAAAGAAATCTGCCATCGTTGGTCCTCTTTCAAACAATTAAAAGGGAAAAAGAAATCTGCCATCGTTAGTCCTCTTTCAAACAACATCAGAAGATCTATAAATCACGTTAACTAATATAGACACAAACTTTTTAACATCAGAAGATCTATAAATCACATTAACTAATATAGACACAAACTTTACGGGCCTAGAGGGAAGAACTGCCAAAGGTAGAGAATGATGGATAGTGCATTTCAAAAGGGTTGCGCTTGCAAGCGAAGTAAAAATGAGGAATTTCCCAGAACCAGGGTTGGAAAGACAACTGGGGATGTACTTTCGAGTGTTCAAAGATTTAATCGGGGCAAACTTTATGAGAGCTGAGTGTGAAAAGTCATGATGTCTATGCCCTGGATAGTTGGAATGATTTTATGCAGCCATATCCTCAAATTAAGCACCCATTAAGGTGCTTTCCCTTTACTACCTTCTTCTTTCACGTAAGTTGAAATGCAGGACTAAAGCAGCGTGACAAACAAGAAAGCACAGGAAGAACAATAAGGACAACGGTATGAAACTTATTTCAGAAATTTGAAGTTTCCTTCGGAAAGTTGGCAAATTGAGAAAACAATTTATCGCACCTCTGTGCTCTCTCCTTAAGCACAAACCAGTTGAGAATATGCCAGTGCAGAGTGACGGAATCCATGGAAATGCAGTCATCCAATGCCATATCATTTCCCACTTCCATGATGGCGGATCACAAGTTTGGACACCACCAAACCTGCCTCCAGCAAAATATCATATTGTTGAGGAGATAGCAATAACACATACCTCAATTAGCTATAACTTCTTCAAACCATGCGTGAAGATAACCAAACTCCATTTCTTATGGACATTTACGCTGTAAACACACCTTGTATCCAAGAAGAGGTAATAAGTTCTTTCTATTTGTGTTTCTCCATGCATGTTCCGTTCTAAGCATATGCACACCAAAAAACACCACAGTTAAGAAGTTCAAGAGATCATCAATCTGGGATGTGCAAATACAAATCCAATATTACAGAAGGTTGAAAGCGAGCTTATTTTATTCAAACCAGTTGAAGGAAAATTAATATAAGAAGAATGCTTGGTCCTTCCACTTCGATCATCATCAAATGCAACGAACAATAAATCACTAATCAACAAAAACAAGGATCAACACCTACACTGGGAGGAGATCCACTGGATTCCAGTGCAAGGCCTACAATGGACATGAGAGCTCCAAACCAGGTATGTGCAGGAACTGTTGCTCCTAGCATACCATCAAGCAAAGGAACCACAATTACCTGATCAATTTATACACAAACATATGCCGAATTTTGTATCTTTTAAGTACATCTACGAACTAAACCAAGAAAAAAAAAAACTTGGATTGAGACACAACGTAGAGACTGATCAAGAAATTTACAGTGAACACGACCAGCATCTGATGTGTGCAGCCCAAGTGCTGACTTAGGTACCCTAGACAAACCCAAAAACCCAACTCTATCACTGCAATACGGGTCCGAACATCATCCTATGCTTGCAATGCAAATGGAAAGAATGGAATGGCTGATACAACAAATCTCACAACAGTGAAAGCTGCTGGATCCATTATTGCTTCAACTTCTTTCACAACTGTAATGTCACTCGCTCCAATATCAAAAAAATAAAAATAAAACCAAAAACTATCACAAAATCAAAGTTGCGGCCACACACAGGACAATGCATCTAAAATCAAACAAGGATATTTCAAACGGATGATGGGATCTATATAATTGCAAGCATATAAAGTTTCCATCTAAAGTCAACAAGGTACAATTAATAACAACAAATCCTCAATCACAAACCAGGATATTTTAGCGCAATCAGATGTCAAATCCACCTCAATATCTAGATATTTTAAATAAAATAGAATGTAATGTATAATGAATGACTATTCTATTAATCACAATTAGTCAAAACAGCAATATTGTTTTTTTTTTTTTAAAAAAAAAAAGTTAAATTCAAGCTTCTTCAATTTGTTTCATCTCCTATGAGAATCATTTTTTTTTCAAAAAAAAAAAAAAAGAGTAACGTGCCATAGACAATGGTGACGCCGTTGAGTAAAGTTATGGAGTACCTGGCTTTCCTTCCTGGACGCGGACAGTATCCTCCGCCACGAATATTTCTTCCCAAACAACGTCTTAAAATTTAAGCTTTTGTTTCTTCTGATTCAAAGTCAGAAGAACAGAGAGGACAACGCAGAAAAGCTCGGAGACTGATCATCGCTTGTTAATTTGCGTTTGTTCACGCTCTAACTTTGCTTTTTTTATTTTAATTTAATTATTGAAGTAAAAACATATTCTGCAAAATTAAAGTTTATGGTAAAAACCTTATAAGGTTTGATTTTTTTTTTCACTTTCCTATTATAGATTATAGTTTGGGAAATTACACTCTATTTCCTTAATTTTATACACATATTAACACTTAAAGTCCTTAAAATTATTTATATTTTGTCATTATATTCATTTTAATAACTAAAAAACATCTAGAGCCTCAAAATAATAAAATTGCCATTCATAATTTTTAATTACAACAATGTTATCCATAATTCCCTGAACAGAAATCCATTTTAGGTATTTTGTTAAATTATTTTTGGGCATCATTAATGTTCACTTTTCTAGGATTCATAATAAAGAAAGGAACACAATTCATTCACTTAGAAGCATTACTTCCCTTAACTAAACTCGTGTGCATTTAATATTTATAATATATGACAGAGAAATACATGAATTAGAGAAGTTAAGGAAGAGGCAAGCAAGAACAGTCATCTGGTATGCTCTTGCTTTCATTTGTCATTCTCTTCTCTCCTAATTTGACAAGTATGCCTAGAATCGAAGGTTAGCACCAAACTTCCATCAATCCTCTTTAATTCGAACCTCTCAACCAACCAACACAGAGCCACCATTCCTGCACTTTCCCTTGCCATCAGAATCCTCATCTCTTGACCTTCACTTCACTTTCACCCCCATTAGCCCACCCGGCTCGCTCCTTCTTGCCCGCATTTCATTCTCTCCCACTTAATATAGTTTATGGAGGCCGTAGATCTTCCTCTAATCCGTCCCCTTAATTATTATATTTTATCAAGGAAAACAGAGTTTTTCATCAAAGAATCCAAATCTATTTAATAATCCTGGCATTGATATAAAAATATAACTTCTTTTTTTTTTTTTTAATTGCAACTATCCAACTATCCATCAAAATTTTTCAATAAAAAGTAAAAGCATTCGAGTAAATCCGTATATTCATACACATTCAAATTGCAAATACAGTATCTAAATCTCATCATTACGCGTCAACAAAACTATAAAACTACAAATAATATGGGAAGCTAACAAAAAAGGAAAATGAAATTTACAAGGGAAGCCTTGCAAAATCAATTCGAGTTACAGTTTAACAACTGCTCCACCCTTGACCCATCCAATATGCTCTTACCTCCACCTCCCTGATGAATTCAGCCTCATGATTTAGCCAAAACACAAATGCCCATCGAGTTTCTTGTCAATTCCCAGACTAGGAGAATGAATACAATTCTTAATCGGAAATAGATGCAAATCCTACAAAAAGAAAGAATTCGAATTGTTTCAAAGGAAAAGGTAGATTCAGAGTTTTGAGATTCGTCGAAAAAACCCAAATTGATAGAACCTAATTGAGAAGGGAGAGAACAGAGAGGAAAAGATTGGAAATTTATTTTTTTGACATGGCAGCTGTTATTTATGTTATATTATACACGCAGATAATTTTATCTTTCTATCATTTTTTAAATTTTATTTGACTTATGCGATAAAATTTTAGAATTTATTTTTGTGATTATTCCTAAAAATTATCGTAAACTTTTCACTGTGAATTAAGTCTACTGCCGTCTTTAAAATTGTCACTGTGGATTAAAAGTAGAATTTAAACCTTTTAATAACTATAGTTTATGATAAAAATAATAGTTAAGAAAATAACTTTAGGAGGCGGCAGACTGCGACGTTGAAGTTCATCGACATATCATTTCAACTACCGAATATATCAACAGTTATTTAAAAGTATAGTAATAATTATTTTTTATTTAAAAATATTTGAAAATAATTTTTTATTCAAATAATTCTTTTTGCGTATGTTAACGAAAAATCTGAGTTGCAAATAATTATTTGTCCACGCCTCTTAATAATAGCCACGAGCGTGCCAAGAATCCAACCAAGGATTTGCAAATCAAGTGCACGATTTGCCTCCACATAATAGACTAAGAAAGTGAGATGTACAGGCAAGAAGGACAGATCGACAGAAAGACACGATATTTTGATTTTGAAATCAAATTAGTTTTAATTGAATTTAATTTAAAAATTCAATTTTTTTTGTTTTACTTTTTAAATGAATAAGCTGAAAATCTTGATTTGTCAAACATGTGTTAATTTATAAATTGTCTATATTCTTTAGGCAAAATTGAGACTCACCCAATGAAAATGCATGTTTCCCTTAGCAAAACTAATAGAGAATAACGAATGAGGCGCTAACTATTAAGTTCTGAGGGTTGCCTTGCGTATCACCTAGCTAGCGTCCCAAAAATCCAACCCTGCACATAACATTTATTGTATGTGTATAGCATGTTCTTTGCTTTGTTTGCTAGTTGCTCGGCACCTACGTAGTTTAGAATTGAGTAGATCAGACGTTCATGCATAGAATCCTTGCTCTATAACTTCAAATTCAAGTCCAATTCCTTGCCCGTTAAATGAGAGGATATTCTCATCAAACAGAGATTTGCCGAGGAATGGCGAAGACGAAAGTAGATCTGAAAACCAACAGCACTGTTAAAAACCAACCACCATGTTTTATCATGCATGAGGAGCATGAATGCGACCTACATTGATTAACATTAATAGAACCTTTTAATGAGGTCGTTGATGCATTGTATTAAATTTAGCATTTCCAGCTATGCATGCCGTTGCGGGACCTTTCCACTGCTCATACGACTTCTTCATTGGTGATGAAAATGATGATGATGCTGCAAAAGGAGATATCAAACTGAGAAATGCAAGCTAGCGAATTAAACAAGCCGGAGCATGGGTGGGTGGAAGAAATAAAAAAAAGCCTTGTGGAAGGTGATAAAAGAGAGAGAAGAGGTAGTTGCACTTAACTCGTACGTGCGCACTTAAATGCTCTACACAATGGCCTCAAGCAAACATTCATTTCATGGGGAAAAATATACTGTGGTCTTCAGACCTTGGTTTCTCATGCTTCCACGGAATCTTTTGAATTTGTCAAAACTGTACAATTGAAGAAAAAACCATCCCTTCTCTCCAGCCATTGCATGGAGATTTTCACAGTTCACTAGACAAAACTGATTCCAATGAAGTTTCTATGGCCTTTTCTTTGCACGTTAAGAGGACTTGGAACTTTGCTTTGTCCAAAGGTGACATGAGCCCAAAATTAAGTTGATAATTGGAGCTGTCCAAAAAGGGCATGGAATAGAGACTTCCCTCGACGTTCAACAAGTGATTGAAGGAAATGGTATAGGGATATTGTGGTCATTCAGGAGGAAGGCGAGTATCCCCCAACTAGGGAGCGCTCAATTGACCGCCGGCATACCATACATGTACAAAACAGAACATTTTAGTAATGGTTTTATTTAAAATTTAATACCATTCTTAATGTTGTTATAAAACGTAGAATATAATATTTGATGTGTGATATAGTGTCCCAAGGCTTAAGAAAGCGTGTTGGCCCAGCAAGACAGGCATCCTCATTTACAGAAATGGATGCATTTAAGTAAAAAAAAAAACTGACGGTATTTCTAGGAATAATCAATCAAAAGAGAAACAACCCCCCCCCCCCCCCCCCCCCCCAAATCCCAGCCAATGGCCCATCCCAACTCTCCCCCTCTTCTCTTATACTTTTGTATGCGGTCACAACATTCGTTCTCCAAGCAATTTGTTTGGTCATGGCTTGAGCCCCACCCCCCCCCCCCCCCCCCCCCCCCCCCCCCCTCCCCCCACCTAATTATCAAACCAGGGCTGTTTGCACTGCAGTCTGTGACCAGATACATGATTGACATACCACAAGGTCCACAACAACATTAATGTTCTAATGGTGTCTATTTTCCTAGCCATAAGCCGTCCATCACTTGCTCGAACAAAGCATCATCATGGCTGTTAAGACTGCTTGAATATTGAACGTCCAGGATGTATGTATTCTGGGTTTGTAATGTTTGCAGTGCTTTATTTTTTTTAGAATTTGGCACATGATTATTTTAATCATTAACATCATGACACATTAATTGGGTGATAGACGGTCAAAATTAGAATAATTTAATTCTGGTTTGTCAAAAAACATAACCTACACCTATGAAAGGAGTAGCAGCCAGCACTCTTGTTCTCAACCTCCATTCAAATAATAGTGTATGCATCAATTCCCATTTCTTTCCAGCTTTTGTTTTGCCTTTTGGATTACTGAAACTGATGAGTTTTGTTGACAACCAGATCGTGTGAAAAAAAAAAAAAAATGAAGGATGAGGCATGTGGCCTTGCTCTCCACTTTTAATGAGAGAGAAAAAAAGCTCCTTTTCAACAGAGAAAGAAAGATAATGTTTAAAGTAGAAGTACACATCTTTTTGGGGGTGTAAGTCGAAGTGCTCTTTACATCATGAAGCATACACGGACACTGTTTAGTAGTTTCTTCTGTGTATTTTATTGCAGCAAAGACTTGACTGCACTAGGGCTACAAGTCTAGGTTATACAATCAGTTTTGGTCCACATGTTCTTTGGCTGTTAAAATGGAAATTTTAAAACAAGAACGAAGAACGAATGTGCAAAACGAGAGCAAGAATTCAAATTTAGTTGAAGAGTTTTCTGGACATGAGTGGCAAAGTAGATGAATAAATAGTAGCTATAATTAAATTCAAAGCCAGTGAATTTTAGCAGAAGGGTACAGCAGAAGAAAACACTGAAAAAGAAACAGGAGCATTTACACTAGCCTTTTCAGTTGCGCTCATTCTCACGCACCATTGCTGCACTACTGTCCCAACCTCATTAAACATGACTGAAAAGGCTAAAGCCAATGCTCTCTTCTCTCTCGTCTACTATAATATTCAAAAGTAAAGAAGAAAAAGCTGAAAGCATAAACCATCTTACATGCACTCTTAAATTTGTAGCATTAAATCTTAGTAGCATACATAAGTTCCACAACCTACCGTTCTTCCTAGTTG